GAAATTTGGATAAACATGCACTCGTGAGTTTTTCAAAGATCTCAAATAGCACTCGTCCTTCGGACTCGTGCTATTTTGAGGTCTTTGAAAAACTCACTCGTGCATGTTATATCCAAATTGCACTCGAAACCATGCTACTGTATTACCTATACTAATTGTGGAAACATATAAACGAAACAACTTTTATAAAATTATTTGTTCAAACATGCGCTGGCCATACAGTTGTATTGGATATGTATTACACTTTACTAAAAACCTATCATTGAGAAACGGCGGAAAATATAATCCATTTTAATCGTAATAGAGATGAAAGGCACAAATAACTTGCTGTAGCTAGAAAGAAATTATTTTCGTGATAAAAAAATGAAAAGGAATTTATAAAGTCGGAATGTACTTCACTTACCATGAACAATTAAACTGACTTGTTTTTTAACAGGTTTTCTTCTGTTAAAAGCACTACATTCATACATTCCCTCATCTTCACTGGTCACGTTTGTTAACATCAAGACGTTTTTTCCTTCAGAAGTTATTACTGAAAACTTCGCCGTTGAAATAGTTTCATTAACTCTATTCCAGGTTATTGTTGGCTTCGGCGCTCCGTCCGCTGTGCATGTGAAGGTAACGTTTGTACCTTGCAACACTGTGCTCGTGTTAGGAGCTTTAATTATGGAAACTTTAGGAACTACTACAATGAATGAAACAGAAGATTATTAAAATAAGTTTTTTGATAAAAGATAAACGTTTAAATACTAATACTATTACTATTACTCATTCAATCAAGAAGATGTTTTCTAACTGTACGTCTTTATATCTTCAAAGATGATTTGTCAGCATATAAGGTCTTACTCACTATAATCCTCTTTCGCATATATTATATTAACCAAAATACATTATGCGAGTAACTACGACAATTATGTACTCATGCATTATTAAACATAACATGAGTACTAAAGATTACTATTATTTATGGTATTATATGGAAATTGATTGATGGTTCAATTCTGCATGCTTATGATCTGTCTCCGAATTAAGTTTGCCAAAGGCAAAGAAGTTTTTAAAATATCTTAAACAAACCAATCAACAGCATGTTGAGGAAGGAAATACAAAATAGTTTGCTGAACACTTCTGTGATCTAGATGAAACAAAATTAGGTTTTGTATAATATATATTGTGATCAATCTGTATCGATCTTTCGGTTGTAGCCTACAAACCGTAAACCGTACAACAGCCGTATAACGAAAACTAACAGCAAGATTCTGTAGTTTTATGTCAAAAAAGAGAATGATCAACCAAACGTGAGCATCGAGCAACTTAAAAGAACAAAGCCCCCAACCCCTTGACTAAAAGTTCTAATCCAATAGCACAGAATAAAGACACACAGAAGGTCGACGCAGCCAAAAAAGCGTAACCGCTGCCACGCACTGAGCTATACTTATATATCTGGAGATCGTGCTCTCGACGAAAGTGTGTGGCCAAAAACATGGCGGATTTGACGTCACAATCGACCTATTTTCATGGCAGTTTCCACTGACCCATGGCTCGAATGTCCGTGGGC